GTCAATTGGATAATATATGTCCGTTTTTAAAATTTTGAATCACAGTAAATGCAGAAAAAAAATTGATTTTTTTTACTTTATGTATTATATGATGATTCAAAAGAGTTAAAAACAAATCAAACAATGATGATAGGAGAATCATAATTATAAATCTTAATCAAATCTTCTAAATATCTAAATTATTAAATATGGAATATCCGGTGTATGAGTTGGGTTAAATATAACCCGACCCAACAATTTTTTTGTGAAGGATTTTTTGAAACGGGTCGGATATCCAAATAACCCGGAAGCATTTTTACCCACCCGTCACCAAAGTGACTACAAAAATACTAGTATAGATAAGAAATTAACAAATGGTCATAGTTGTAATGAGAATTTTATGTTCTTTTTAACAAAATTTAGGTTAATTTAAATTATGTAGTACTCCCCCATTAATAGTAGTAGGATATCACAATCAACTTGGGTTTTCACTTTTCATTTGACAAAAAAATTTGACCAATTACAATCGATACAATATAACTAAGCCGAATTGAACCAATACGGACAAAGGATAAAAACATAATAAGAATGAGTTAAACTTTTCATACTTCTAAAAATTACATAATGGCCTATTCTCGTACTCTACATTTTCATGATATACAAAAGATACAAATGGAAAAAATAAAAGCTTCAAAGTTGTTCAGAAATGATGAATTTTGCCTTGGGTTGTGGTGATGATTATGTTGTTTCCGCATTTTCTATTTTTCACATGAGTGTCCAGCTCTAGCCATGCTCAAACAGAACTATAATAACGATAGAATGGTTCAAGTAATGGAAAAAAGTAAACACTAAAACAACTACTAATTATGTATTGTTTGGAATTTATTTGACGACACCCTCATATACCAAATATCTTAAAGGATTGGACTTCTTTTTGTGATATTAAAGTTTGGGTATGGTCGAAATTTAGATATGAATCAGTTGCTCCAAATGAACAACTGACTCATATCCAAACTTAGTCTATACCCAAACTATGACATCACCAGAAGAAGTCCAAGGCACAAAATCGACGGAGAACAAAGATTTGAATAATGGGTTCGAGAGTAAATGAAGCAGAAAGCTTTAAAGAATAGAATTAGAGAAGACGAGAATACAAAAGTTGGCATGAGTGTGAAATTTAAGAGATCTTTCCATCTTTTTATATGATAGATTCAAAAGTCAAACAAAGTAAAATAAAAATATATTCAAAAAAAAAAATTTCACTAATAGATGTTTTCAGATTTTTACCCTTTATTTGACTATATTCTATTATATGATAAAACTCTCATTGGTTTAAATTTTGAGATTATAGAAACAAAATATTTTCTTTCCTTTTTGTAAATAAATTGGCATAATGAATTTTTTTAAAAAATTTGACTTTGACTAGAAACTTATACAGTATAATAAAATGGTAAAATGAAGAAAGTGTAATATTTTATTTGACATATATAATAAGATGGTTGAATAATAAATTAAGGGGGTGTTATTCAATGGTGGAGTTAAAGTCAATTCTTTAAGGTTTAGATTTGTTTTCTGATATTGGTTTTAAGAATCTGTTTGTGTGGATTTCAAAATCTCTGCAGTATATCTTGGATTTTGATTCTAATAATTTACTCATGAAACTCCAAAGAGGTTTCATTTGAAATGACTTAATATACAAAGATTTTACAAGTCATTTAGTTTTAAATAACACTGGATTTTACAAACCTTAAATGATTGACTTTAACTTCACCATTGAATAACACCAAACTTTTAAAATCTAATGAAGTATAAGATCTAATAATACCAGATTTTAACGTTAGATTTAGAATCATTAGTTGAATAACACTGAATTAGTGTTGGATTTCAATTCTATTAAAATCCATCAATGAATAACACCACCTAAGAAAGAATCTTTAGATTATGACCAAATCTAAAAATCTAATCACCATTAACTGTCTTACATGATTTGACCAAATCTAAAGATTATTTCTTAATATTCTATAATCTTATTATACAAATAAAATAAAAATAAATTTTCTGCATTTTACCATTATATTAGATAAATTTCAGTCAAATTTTTTTTTTTTTTTTATTTTGTCATGGCAATTTATTTACAAAAAAGTAAATGCATATTTTGTTTCTCTCTTTTTTTTTTTTTGGACAAAAAATATTTGGTTTCTAAAAATCCCAAATTCTAGACAAATAAGAGAAATAGCATAAAATTGAAAAATACAAAAAGGATACAATCTGTGAGACTTTTCAATATATTTTCTCTTTATGAACTTTTGAATAATTATATTGGAATTAAGTTATATCAAATTTTTCATCAATTATATATTATAAACATTTTAAAACATAACAAATTTATTAGGGCTATTCTTAAAAATACCAAACAATTTTCTTTTCTTTCAGGTACCACAAAATATTTTTATAAATTATGTTTACCATATAAGAAAATTAAATTTTGAAGTAGATCCATGTCGGATCTAAATATCTTGTTTTTCAATATTAAAATATTTAGATCCATATCCGGAAGTTTCATATATCATATTTCGGATCAGAGTGGCTTAGATCTCAGATAATATTTCCACCTCTAAATATATTGTACATTTATCAAATTATGTTATTTTGTTGAAGATGCTTTATATTAAATTTAGATGATTTTGTACCACTATGAATTCTTTTTTATTTTCATTGAAAATTCATGAGTCAAAATAAAAACCATCAAGCAATCAAACTATAATAGTAAGATAATGAATGGTATTAGTAATAAGAAAACCAAAAAGTTATGCAAATATTTAAAAGAATTCAAATAAAACTGAATGAATGTAAAAGATCTTAAACTACGTTTTATTAGCACATACCTTTTGCAAAAGAGATGTAATCGGATTTGAGGTTTCTTCATTGATGCGATCGAATAATTCTAAACTTTCATAGGATATGTAGTCGTTATGTT